GGTACCCAGCAACCCATGTTCTTGGGGTTCCTTTTAGACAGGTGCCCAGCAACCCATGTATTGGGTTTCTTTTATGAAAACATTTAGTCTTTAGTAATCTATATCCTTGTTTGTGTTCCAGAGGCTGAAGAGAAGGAAGACATAGCAAAATAAAAGAAAGATAAAAGGATCAACATCGAAGATGGTAAGGCAGAATGTAGACTAATATCTGGTCTCTGATATGAAAACATTTTATAGACAAACCTTCCTAAATTATCTTTATATTAAAAAGGATGAAATTGATGTAACGTAGACTTGCCACATATTCTAGACTCGGATGGGCTGAAATCGGTGTATTTGTTTCAGGATTGGAGGAAATGTTCAACAATCATTTTCTCCTGTTTTCCCTAAATATTTGCAAGTATTCGGAGTGAAAACATTTCTTGGTTCAATTACAGGCTCCTTCAAGGCAAAAGATGTTAAAAAGGTGGTTCTTGTTGTCTCCCTTCCTGGTGCTGGGATTAAACAAGGACTGGTTGACTCAGAGTTGGTATAATGTGCCTGTTCGGTATCCATATCAAACTGTAGCGTAGTATTGCAGTGGGATAGAACTGTATGAAACGACAGTACAATCAACTATCTACACACGTCCATACATGCCTACACGTTGCCTTTTCCTATAGTTTTGTACGTTGGACCCTTTTCCCTTTTCATAACATGCTGTCTATTAAAATGGTCCCTGTGTATCAAGCTTTGGTATTTACTGCTTCTGTTACAGTGAGAGGACAGCAGCGAGAACGGACATCAGAGGCTCCGAGTGAGAGGCCCGGACTGCGACGCACGTCAGAAATGAAGCTGTTGTATGGGACAGGTGCAGCCATGATTCATGGCATGGAGACAGCACTGCAGATGACATACGACAGACACCTTGATGCCAACCAGCCCAAATATTGGCCAAATATGCCATTGAGAGTCCACTTCTCAGATTCTTAGACACTGATGATTCGTTTGTAACCAGACTTGGGGGACATGGTTTTTTAAATGAATATCTTTGTTATCATCATGTGTTAGATTTGAAAAGAAAAATCTGAAAAGAACAATGATGTTTGGTAAGTACACATTGAAAAGAGTTAAGTTGCAACCCTGTTTAAAATTCTCAAGGGAACATTTCTAATACCAACATCTTGAGCTATGCATACATAGCCGAACCGGTATCTAAATAATAACATTCTCACTTTTGATACCCAGTTCTCATCCCCATTATTATCTAATCTTCTTAACATTTCATAACATTTCGTTGTATATCTATATGGCTGTTCACGTATAATCCTGTCCAAAACAAAAGAAAGCTAAAATAGGCATATATTCTACCAGAGCGCCTTTACTTGATGGCCCCAAACCAAGTTTTTGTAAATATGAATTTTGTTTCCAAAGCATATAAAACATGTAGATTAAGTGTTTCCATACTTATCATATAAAAAGTGGGTAGTGCTTCATTAATGGCTGTTTGAATACTGCTGAGTACGGAGTTCAACAAAACACCAACCAACTAACCTTGTTACTACACACCAAAAAACACAAAAAAAACACAAAAAAAACCACTGGGTCAGCAATGCCGAAGCTCTCCTCAGTGACCTGTTTTCTCGATAGACATTTTATCGAGTAGGGAGTTTGTTTGCTAAATATAGTCATTTCATAGAAGGCGCAAGTTTAGGAAAGCACTGTTATAAATATGAAAGCACTTTTATATACATGTTTTCTAATTTGCGTTCAACAGAATTTATTGAACTAAATGGATTATAATATACAAACAATATTTTTAATCATTAATGTGCACTATTTCAGCGCACTGAGTATATTCATTGAAGCTACACACATACAAACATCGCCACCCGAACACCGATATTTACATGTTTTCTTTAAAGGACGGGAGCCAACGTTTTTGTAGTGCTTTAAATCTTTCAGCTGCATTTTTATGGGGGGAAAATCACAAAACATCGAAAGTACATGATGAAAAGGTTTTTTTGTCGAAAAGTTTGCTATTGGAATCTGTCAGGAAATGAAGGCATTTTCACAAGCTATATTTTCCCTTTTCTTTCGTCTGTTTTAATAGAGAACTTTCATAGTCACGATGTGGCTGAAATATTGCCGATGTGACTCTAAATTTAACTCACTCATTTTTTCAGTGCTTATGCCTTCCGCGTTCCTGATTTGGATGGTGCTGACTTTTAAAAGTGTTCCAAATACTTCTCCGCACAACATACTGGCGCGGCGTTATACATTATTGATATCACACGTGTACACTTATCTACACTAACTACACAGTGTACATTCATTCATTATATATATATCGGGAAAAAACCATTTGTGAATATATTTGTTTTCTTTCTTATTAGCAGATTTGATGGCTTCTTTGAATAATTAGGAAAGGCTTATGAATTGAAGGATTAATGGACAGGACTTAGTTATGCTCAAATTCATGTTTTAATGATATCTGTAATTCAGTTCCTGATATCTTGCAATTAATGCAGAAATCTTTAATCAATTGAAGATATCTGGAAATGGTTTAAAGATATCTCTAATAGAGATCTTTTTGTCGTTCTTTCCTGTAACTTGTATTAGAGATATCAATAATTAATTTTAAAATATCTTCAGAATGATTGATACTGAATTTAATTTGATTTTATATATCAGTAACCGCCAGAATTTAAGGTATCTAAAACTGAATTAAATATATCGCTAATGAAGTTGAAGATATCTCTAATTGAGGTAAAGATATATATCATGCTTTTGTGGATATGTATAAAATGTTTCAAGATGTCTTGAATTGAATTAAGATATCTTGAATTAATTTCTAATACAATTATGTACCCTACGGTCGTAAATGTTTAATTCATATCTTGAACACATTTAGAGATAACAGGAACTATTTTCTTGATGTCTTAGTAGCATTTTACGATACCAGAAATTATATTTGGAATATGAGAAATTCAGTGATAATCTTCAATTATTTACGGATATCTTTCAAAGATCAGTGATATCTTTATAGTCCAGTCAAAATGTGCCTAAACCTCAAAAAGAATTGGTACAGAAATGATTTCAGTGTTTTCAACATGTTTTAGTTATGACTAATGTGTACTAAAAAGTCCTCCCTTGAAATATGATGCTAAGTCCTATTTTGGAGGGTAAAATGTTGAAAAATTGAAAGTTTCAGTGAATAATTTTTAAAATCTCACATAGAGACTCAAATATACATTTTTATATATATTTACAAAGAGAACACAAGGTACTACTAATAAATGGGTTAGAAAAGTCAAATAATGTTATGTAAAGTCCTATTTTAGGGTAAAAAAGTGAAAATTTGAAATTTTCAGAGAATATTTTTTATCATCCCATATTGAGACACAAATGTACTTTTTATGTATAATTTAACTAAGAACTCAAGGTACTACTAATAAGTGGTCTGGAAAAGTCAAATTACTTTATTTCTAAAGTTGAAATTTTCAGAGAATGTTTTTACAAATCTCGTTACATTTTTTACTGAAGGTGAAAAGGAGAATACTGGTTGTACTTTCAAAACTTCACTAGAGCTCTTAACCTGTGAAGATCCGGTTTAGAATTGATCTTCAGTAAACCATGTTTGTCGTAAGAGGCGACTAACGGGATCGGGTGGTCAGGCTCGCTGACTTCATGGACACATGTCGTCATATCCCATGCATTGATGATCATGGTGTTGATCACTGCATTGTCTGGTCAGACTCAATTATTTACAGACCGCCGCTATTATATAGCTGGAATATTGTTTAGTGTGGTGTAAAACTAAACTCACCTACATCGAATTGTACATGATTTTTTATAACAATTATCCACAGCGACCTACAAGGAGTCTAGGTTAATGATTTTTTCCAATTTTAAGAATGATTGGTATGTTTTTCATTAAAGCTATAGGTTATATATCCAGTTTATGTGAATCAATTTCAAGTTTTTTCATGTAGATTTCAGTCCGTTTTTTAAATGTTGCTGAGATTTCCAATCGGATAAAAAAATACCAGCTATACTATGAATATTTGCTAAGGTTCACTCAATTCTGCTCACATGATAATATTTAGTTGCCAGTTGAAGTTAAAAGAGATCAGGGCTATCCTTCAATCACCTTTTGAAATTGTTTTAAAATTAAAATATAGCATGGAAAATATAAATGTTATAATATTTTCCTAATCTACCATTTTGTCATATCTTGCTACAAGTTCTCTTAAATCTTGATACTCAATGTCCCATTTATCACCTAGGTGCGTAGTCTTACACGACCGCAGTGCATATAGTTCCGTGGGCTAATTATGGGAGCAGAATCACCTCAGTCCTCCTCATTATCTCTTTTAGTTGGAGCTTTTAGCTGTCTTTTTAATCCTTTATCTATGACGCTAACTATATCCTCATCTCGTTTGAGTTTTATAAAAGATAGAACCTTTTCATTCCATTCTGCTACTTCAATCTATTGTAAACAAAGGGGGAATAACTCTCATTTACACACATGTCCTGTGTGCTAGGCCGTCAAAAATCCAAGTTCAAACCTCATGTCATGTTATTTTTTTCAATTTTAATTGTCATTATTTACTATTTTGTTCACTTCAGTTGCATGTTTTGCAACGTTTTATACCATATTCTGGGCTTATTTTCAGTTAGAAAAACATAATTGAAAAATACCATATTTCACAGTTTTTGCCCCCAAAAAGCCACTTAGCATCAACATCCATGGGAGGACTTTTTATTGTTATTTAGATAACTATTGTAAATGATATAAACACAAAACCATTTCTGTACCAATTTTTTTGAGGTTCAGTGATTTTTTCCACTAATTTTACTGGACTATTAAATAGAAAACACATTTCTTTAAAATAACTGAAAATATGTTAAACCCCTTCAAATTTGAAAACTCTTTGCCAGGCTTTGCAGTGGGAAACTCCTTTTTGAACGGAATTATCCGACTATTTCCGAATGTCAAAGGAAGTACAAGGGAAGTAACTCTAATTAAATGACGAAAACAACGCGAAACCTTGCGGAGGACGGTGCGAGTCATGCCACATGTAAGTGTGTCTTGATATTTATAGTGTCACTTGTATAATGTGACTACTGATGTCTATTCCCTTCTCTTTATTTCATACTGAAACGAACGTGAAGACGACTATTTACACTATTTATTCCACAACGACGGATGGTGTTTCAACTTTGAGTTTGACCATGGCATTATCAGCTGATTATGTAAACATGGATTGGACAGACGGACAGTTGCGAGGATGACTGACTTGTTAGGCATGTATGTTTTGGTGATTAACGTAGCACTCAGCAATATTTCAGCGGTGTGACAACTGTCTGACGGGAATCGATTCTGGACCAGACAATCCAGTGATATCATGCACATCAATCTACGTTGATATGTCTCTATATACCAGGGTGCCGTTGTACAAAACAACCTTAGCGCTAAGTCTACCTAAGTCTATGTTAAGGTATGGGAGTTACGGTCCCCTTAGCGCTAAGATCGCTTTGTACAACGGCACCCAGATCAGTTGACCGAGCCTGACCACCCGGTCCCGTTAGTCTTGCACCGGCAACCGCAGATGCACACATACATTCATGGACGTTGTCATACCAATGTGATGTATTTAAAACCAAATTTCCTGTCACTTCTGTTTCAAGCTCTATCCGACCGCCTCCGTAGTCAGGTAGTGTAGTGGTAAGAGCGTCCGGCCGAAGAGCGGAAGGTCGCGGGTTCGATCCCCGACCGCGTCATGCCAAAAGACGTTAAAATATGGTACTTGTTGGTCCCTGCCTGGCGCTCGGCATTAATGGGTACAACAAGGACTGGTCAGCTCGGAGTCAGTATAATATGTCTGAGTGGGATATTCATGCTTCACTGCTGCATGGTATTTCAGTGGGCTAGCACTAAAAACCAGCTTCAGTCTGGGCTAGTACAAACAGCCGCACATACACATACACACACATGCACATCGTCATATAAGCGAAATATTCTCAAGCGACGTTAAACCCAATTTCACCTCACCTAAAACACCTCAAAGGCGAATATAAAGATGTTAAACTATGGATGTCAAAGCGTTGTTGTTTCATGAACTTCGGGATACTACATACGATGATTAACCTTGTGTTCATTGTTTCCGTGCAAACACATCATTAATATCTTATGTATTAGCTAACGGCTACAGCATAATACAATTTATATTCCTAATATATGATATTAATCAGACGAAAACACACAAGGTTAATAATCACTTCATCATGTAATGTTCTTCTTAAAATTACTCTTTAAATAAAAAAAGCACATCATACGTGAATTTATATTAAGAGAATCGAGCATTCGCGTAAGAATGCTTAGCGGTACACCAAGGTGAAGGTCATTCATGATGCAATGGATACCCCCTGTAAACTCGTGACAACGTCATCAGTGAAATGTTAATGTTTTTTTAATTTGCATGGCGTGTATGGAATTTTGTGAAAGTAGTTCGTGTATTGACCTAATCTGCATATTTATATGATTTGGATACTAAGCAGAGAATTGTTCACAATCAGGAGTATGTACTCCTTATTTTTTCAATATAGGAGTACTGGAATACAATAAGTGTAAATTTAGAGTACTGAATGGAAGTTAATGGAGTACCAGTAATCTTGTGTTTCATTTTATATATGCACCACAACATTGCTACTCTTGTGTAAACAGGTCAATAAACAATAAAACAATACTTTTTCAGATAAATACGTCTGTAAATGATTCTAAGACCGTATACCATTGCTGTAGTGTGTATCTGCTATGTTTTCTAAATTATTTCCTACCGTATCATGCTTATTTTATATCCTTACATACTCCGATATGGCCCATATCTAAAGCCCTGCTAAGTTTATCAGATTGCTTTAACACCCTCCATTATATAATAATACCTTGTAACAGAATTCTTGTTATTTTCCCTTTTTTTCAATTATTTCTCTGATTTGAAACAGAAATCTGGAACTCTTCAGCTGAACAATCAGGATCGATCTGTTGCTGAAGCAGAGGTCCGGGTTAGAATATTGATCTTTAGTAGCCCATGCTTGTCATAAAAGGCGACTAACGGGATCGGGTGGTCAGGCTCGCTGACTTGGTTGACACATGTCATTGGTTCCCAATTGCACAGATTGATGCTCATGCTGTTGATGACTGGATCGTCTGGTCCAGATTCAATTATTTACCGACCGCTGCCATATAGCTGGAATATTGCTGAGTGCGGCGTAAAACTAAACTCACTCACTCACTCAGTTGCCGAAGCAACCATTGATGGTTTGTTGTTTTCTGAAATAAATGTCATGTTTCAACAAGAGTTGTTTAAAGATGGTACTTGTTGTTACTCAGCCTCATCCTTTTTACTCTGCGTCGGCTTAAACATGTTCAAGAGAACTGAAAAAGGGAATGGTTGGTTCAGAGGCCATACATCATTACATGTGTCTGAGTGGGGTATCCATGTCAGTGCGCCCGGAGAGCGTAAGGTCACAGGTTCAATCCTTGGCCACGTCATAGCAAAAGATGTTAAAATATGGTGCTTGTTGGTCCCTACCTAGAATTGCTTTAGTAGCAGCCACATATATACACACCTGCACATTGTCATGCACTCGTGGAAATATTAAGGTGATCGTAACTCCCATACTTTAACATAGACTTGACGACTGTGGCATGGTGCTCACGAGTAAACTTACACTGTAAAACTGAGCGAGACCCTGATGAGTACAGGAAGCCAACTGAACAAAGTGGAGCCCAACTGTGGAATTCTTACCATTTTGGACTATAGCATGCCTGCTTAAAACATACCTACAATACAATTAGTTGTGCAGTGAGATAAAAACAATTTGCCCGCAGGTCACTCATTTGACATGTCATTATCTTATCTTCATGTAAAATACTTTGATTTCATTGGTTGCTTTAACAAGTTTCCGTGTCACCCCTCCCAGGAGGGGCACAACTGGCAAAAATATTACCCGCTGCCACGGTAACCGCCATGCTCTCGCCAAGAAACTGTAAGCTAACAATCGTATCATGTCATAATAGGCATGCAGTGCACATGTATGAAAACTGTTCGATTGGCTGCACATTATTTTACCGACTTTCACTGCTTTATTTAACTATTTTCTACATTGCATTATTTGCACACTCAGCGTAATCATAATTAACCAATTTAAGCCATATTTATAGCAGTTTTTATCAGATCAGGCGCCATTTATTTTCATGTCATAGTAGCATATTAGTGTCCCTCGAGAGAAGCATACAACGTATAATGTACCATCCATGTTGGTTTGTGAGAAAGAGGGTAAATCTATCCATGTCCCCCCCCGAAGACTGATAGACAAGTCATTATATATTTTATCATTGTCATTATTATCATAGTTTCATATTAAAAGAGATTCTGTATATAGAAGACCTGTGAAGATACGGGTGAGAATTGATCTTCTGCAACCCAAGCTTGTGGTAAGAGGCAACTAAGGGATCGTCAGGCTCGCTGACTTAGTTGTCACATGTCATCATATCCCCAATGCGTAGATCAATGCTCGTGATGTTGATCACTGGATTGTCTGATCTATATAGCTGGAAAACTGCTGAGCAGGACTTTAAACAACAACCAACCAAACTATATATAAAATGTGTCACTTATTCAAGGAATTGCTTGCAGATGTAAGCAATGGCCGATAAGGAGGACCAGGAGGATGAGCTAACTGCCCTGGCCAGTATCTATGACGACAGCATCCTGACCCTCTCCCAGGACGGGGAGGAGCCAGGGGGTCAGTTTGTGGCCTGCTTCCCTCTCCCCTACCCATTCTACATCCGGATGGACCCTCACAGAGACAAACAAGGTGAAGATGAAGGTCAGTTGGGGCAGTTCAGCCTCTTGTTCATCAGGGGAATTCATCATTAATTTCATAGTAATCATTTTGATATTTCAAATCTGTGGCAAACAACTCATGTACTGTAATATTTCCTGAGTATTGTTTTTCTTGCCCAAGTTTAATTATTTACAGGCTGTTGTGATATCACATTGATTATTGAAGTGATTTGTTGCAAAGTGTGTTAGTCCTGTGATAGAATTTGAACCACATATCTTTTGATCCGAGGTTAGACACCTTGTCCACATGCAGAGATGCCAACCTCTACAATTTTATCGTAGTCGCTACAAATTTTAGCCTCAAACTACACCAATACGTTTGTACTGAATATTCTATGAAATTTGAAGAAAATTCATTAAAATTCTGATAAATAGACAAAAACATATATTTTATTTATTAAATACATTTTCAGACTTCACTTACCTTCCTTCCATCAAATTTAATGACATTGAACTGGAATCATTGCAAGTAACAAATGTAATTTTAGTGAAATTGTTTATCAGAAATCTGAAGCTGATTTCAATACCTTTGCGATTTGGCCCACTTATTGTGTACCAGCGGAAAATGACAATCTTATTGGAATGATTTAAACATTTGACAGTTCCTTCAGTTCGATTATACAAAACTGGTATGTGAAATTAAAGCTTCACTCTTGATTAGTGTTATATTATCTTTCTTAGAATCCATCATGATTTTAAGTATATTGTTGACTACTATTTTTATGGTCAAACTTCTAATTTTGATCCTTGAAACTACTATTTGCAACACTTAGGGGTGGGCATCTCTGTACATGACCAAAGTGGGATGACCTATTCACATGATATGATGCTCTATCGTCAGACAGGACCGCCTCCGTGGTGTAGTGGTTAGAGCGTCTGCCCGGAGAGCGGAAGGTCGCGGGTTCGATCCCCGACCGCATCATACCAAAAGACGTTAAAATATGGTACTTGTTCATCCCTGCCTGGCGCTCGGCATTAATGGGTACAACAAGGACTGGTCGGCTCGGAGTCAGTATAATGTGTCTGAGTGGGGTATTCATGCTTCACTGCGGCGTGGTATCTCAGTGGGCTAGCACTATAAAACCAGCTTACGTCTGGGCTAGTACAAGCAGCCGCACATACACATACACACGCATGCACGTCGTATGAGCATGACATTAAACCCAATTTCACCTCACCTCACCTCACCTCACCTATCGTCAGACATAATGACAAGGGACATCACCACAAAAATCCTATGAATAGGATGAAGGACAAGTATTGAACAAACATTGTTATAAGCTGTTACATTCATACCATCATACATCATGGAAAGTGAAAATATAGAAAAAATAAAGTATTTTCACTTTTGTGTTCAGAAAGAGTGACAAGATTTCACACCACACTCACGTCAGTCATTTTCCTCTGTTGAAGAAAGTTTAGCTAATTATGATTTAATAGCTTCAGTTTAAAATATCTTATATTTCACACTTCAGACAATTCAAACAATACAACACAAGATTCAACAGAGGTGAAGTTTCTACCTCCAGTGACCTTGAACTTTGCTCTGCCCCCTGACTACCCATCAGTTCAACCCCCACAGTTCACACTGTCATGTAAATGGTTGACACGGCACCAGGTGAGTTCTGACTTACTCTCAAGAGTTACTCTGCAGATACTGATGTGTTTAGGCTTTTGTTATAACAGAGGCTCACCAATTTTGGTAACTTGATTTATCTAGACCTGCTCGGGAACCCGATGTTCAGTTTGCAGCAAATGGCTCTAAAATTCTTATCTTGAATTAAAAATTTCAATGATTTTCTGAACTGAAAAATAACATTACAAAATAGACCAAGTTTGGACAATATCATGATATTTTTCCTAAAGTACTGTCGGAAATAGAAAAAAACTGTTTTTAGGCTGTTACTCTGTATCCCTAAAATTTACAGAATCGCAAATAGCATATATCGAAATAACCCACATTGGCCTAACTGGGCATTCAGTGGAATGTTTAATAGGATTTCCAGAAAAGCATGTTTACTCGTAAAATTGGGCAAAACTTAGAAAAAAATACCAGTAGGTGCTGAAAACAATAGATCAGACTATAGATGGCAATTAGGTCGCTTAGCCAGGTATGACGATGACCGTCGACTCACCTGGCATGAAATGCATGTGCTGACTACAGGCACAAGGGGTCATCTCAAAGATATTTTATGCTTTATCATGTGTGTTGAATATGTCTCATCTATTGATTAACATCTTACATGTCTTTCTTTCACAAAGTTTATGTTGAGATATGTAAAAGAGTATGATACCCATAGAAAAGCTTAAATCAGCCTTCGTATTAAATGTCTCAAAATATATAGGTGGCATGACCACCCGATGATCGACAGGACGGTATCTTTCCATAAGACAGACCTCCCAAAAGATAGACTGCTTAAAGCAACACATTTTATGGTTGGTTGCATAAGGCTTATTTAAGCTGTACCCTTGATAATAATGGTATGTGCCCAGATAAAAAAGACAACATTAGGTATTAACTATAGTTTTATCGGTATCTTCCCGTAAGACAGACCTCCCAAAAGACAGATGGTGGAGACAACCCCTCCTACCTGTTTCATTTTGTTGTGATAGTGAGACTCCATGGTAGCTACATCCTTAATAGTTTCAGTATTAAAGTTATTATTGTTTACGTCAGCTATCGTTTATAATGAAGATAAGTTTATTTTGTGAAATGGGTATTTAAAAAGTGTCCTTTGCAATAAAGTATTATCACACACTAATTTGCATAAAGTCATGGTCTGTTCCAAATAATTCGCTTTGGACTTAGAAAAAACCCGCATTACTCATTTCTGCACTAATCTCTCTTCAGTAAAGTCCTTTTTCTACATTTCCTATCTCCTTACCACTGAGACTGTAGTTAGGCCGAACTTAGTTTAACAGATATTTCACCCTTTCATATATTATATTAACTACATCAATTGTAGATATAAATGAAAAAACAAGTTTTTTTCTATTTCCGACAGTACTTTAATTTGACTGCCATGGTCATTTGCTTTGAACTTCCGGATAAATCCTTGTGAAATTGTCCTTTCCCAGCTGTCACGACTGTGTCATAAACTTGATGAACTGTGGGAAGAAAATTCTGGATGTGTGATTCTGTTCATGTGGACAAACTTTCTCCAAAGTGAAGCCTATGACTTCCTGGACCTTTCATCCCCGCTAGATCTTTCCAATGTTGTGTGCCCCCGTAGGACTAGCAAGAGTGATAATGTCCCCCACCCCAGGACTAACCCTACCGAGGACACACCCTCCAGCTCTGACCCCCGAGGTATTCAGGACATCGCATCCCAGCAGTTGCTCTTGCCGGCGATCCGAGACTTCAGCAACCAGGAGCAGCTGAGGCAGTTCCAGAAGTCAGTGTATTCCTGTAAGGTGTGCTTCATGGAGAAACTGGGATCCTTGTGTATTCAGTTTGCGCAGTGTGACCACGTGTACTGTAAGGAGTGTATGAAGGACTACTTTGCGATACAGATCGGTGACGGGAATGTTTCTGCTCTCACCTGTCCTGAAGACAAGTGTGAGTCACAGGCACATCCGGCCCAGGTGGGTGTTTCTGTAGACTCTGTGTTGGTAAGGGGCGGTGGGGTAGCCTAGTGGTTAAAGCGTTCGCTTGTCACACTGAAGACCGGGTTCGATTCCCCACATGGGTACAATGTGTGAAGCCCATTTTTGGTGTTCCCCACCATGATATTGCTGGAATATTGCTAAAAGTGGCGTAAAACTAAACTCACTCACTCATCGTGTTGGTAATTGATAATTTAACTTCTGATGCTCTTATGATACAGTATTCTTAATATTCAGTGACTCACATCATAGTATTTATCAAAATTAGATATGAGTAAATACATGTCCAAGCAAGGCAAGATAATAGACAACATTCTGATATATTTAATTTGACAGCAATGTGGCCATTGTCTTGACAAATTAACACTGTCAACATGTTCAAAACATGTCAAATAATTATTGTCCTATCATATGGTTATTGTTGAACATATTGAATAATACATCAACTGATGACTTGTTATTGTATTGTATTGTATTGGGTATATAATGTATCATACTCACCTAATAGTGTATTCTTCGCAGCCCTGTTTACTTTTACCTGCCGGGGGCGGTGGGGTAGTCTCGTGGTTAAAGCGTCCGCTCGTCACGCCGAAGACCTGGGTTCAAATCCCCACAGGGGCACAATGTGTGAAGCCCATTTCTGGTGTCCCCCACAGTGATATTGCTGGAATATTGCTAAAAGCGGCGTAAAACCATACTTACTCACTCACTCACTTACTTACTATTACCTGCCAATTATTACATTTCTGGGTCAGATATTCGAAAGTTTAAAACTTGAGTAAGAAGTAGTTTCATGAATGTAAATATACTGTCAACCAGTTTCAGTGGCAAAGAAATTAGTCATATAAAAATGTTAGCAGAAAAGATTGATAATTGGAAGAAATGCAATGGTTTTTCACTTTTTGTTGGGTAATTGTTTAATGTCCACAATGTACTTCATGTACAAATATGTCACCAGTCACTAGTGATGTGAAATACGCTGTTTTCTCTTTTTGGAGGTTTTCGCATATCTTCTCACATTCTCCAATATTTATCACTATTGATTTCTAATTAGTTATCATGGTCTATATCAAAAGTGAGCCCTGATCATTGATTGTGATATCATGGTAATCAATGATGTCTCATTTGACTGAAAAGCAGTGATGCAACTTCATTGCAGATATATCTCAAAGGAGAGATCACTTGATCTCAAAACCAAGAACATCCGGGTTAGAATTGGTCTTCAGGTATCCATGCTTGTCGTAAGAGCCGACTAACAGGTTCGGGTTGTCAGGCATGCTGACTAGGTTGACACATGTCATTGTATCGCAATTGCGTAAATAATGCTCACATTGTTGATCACTCTGGTCCAGACTTGATTCTTTACAGGTTGCTGCCATATAGCTGTAATATTGCTGAGTGCAGCATTAAACAACAAACAAACAAAAAATGGATCTCAGCCAATTGGTGTCTTCTGTGGAAGCCAGTCCTGGATGATGTATTGTAAATCATGAAATTAATGCGTCACGAATTTAATGTGATTGCGAGGGTCTAGTCTAAAATGTGTCACAAAATTAATGCGAGCTCAGGAATCTGTGTTGATGATAAAATGTGACACCCTGAATCTTTGGTGTTGTTCTCTTTCTTTTCACTCTTGTTATTTACCAAATAACCTGAATTGAGCTTATTAAGCAATGAATGGAAATGAGCTGACGATGTTTTAATTACGCTGCCATGTTTGATCACAAGCTTGCTTGCTACTACTTGTCTTATGACAACATGTATAAACGTAATCCGACTTGAAAGACACAAGTCATCTTCCAAGGTACAACAAACAGGTGGCTGGAGAATGTCAGGTCTGGCTGACGTGCTTGAGTGACTTTAAACAATGACCAGTGATTGTAACCAGTGATAATTAATTACATGTGACTTGAGATACCTGTAATGAGGAAGTGACCTGTATTGGTGTAAATGTGTAGCGTCAACAGATTTACGTTTCTGTCTTTTATTAAGTAGACATGATCAGACTGAAATGCGTCATTATAATAATGCGAGAAGAGTACAGATGCATTTTTCACATCAATAAAATGCTCGCATTAATTTCATGATTTACAGTAATTCCTCTTCTGGCACACAGGTAAAGGAGCTGGTGTCTCCTGAACTGTTCACTCGGTACGATCAGTTGCTGCTGAAGACGTCCCTAGAGACGATGACAGACGTAGTGTACTGTCCGCGACCCGTCTGTCAGTTCCCCGTTATCATGGACCGAGAGAGCAACATGGCGTCCTGCCCCTCGTGTCATTACGTCTTCTGTGTTCTGTGCAAGCTTGTCTTCCACGGATTATCACCCTGCAAGATCAAGTCAGGTGAGGCTATAGATATGTGATGCCCAGGTAGAAAATGCAACCCAGTAATCTCAAAGGGACGCTTTTTTACAGATTCAGGGATTTACCTTGAGTCCTGTATTTGAGGGTCCCTGGGATTCATGCTCATAATTTTCAGGGGTCCAGGACAACAAAATGGGGGTCCCGGACACTTAAATATTATTATTAATACTGTTATTGTATTGTGTATCATGATCATCACATTATTTGTTACTGTAATTAAATTGCAAATGGGGGCGGTGGGGTAGCCTAGTGGTTAAAGCGTTGGCTCGTCACGCCGAAGACCCTAGGTCGAATCCCCACATGGGCACAATGTGTGAAGCCCATTTCTGGTATCCCCTGCCATGATGTTGCTGGAATATTGCTAAAAGCGGCGTAAAACCAAACTCAGTCAGTAAATTGCAAATGATACCATAACCCAGCTAGTAGCAAACTCAGTGATAACTTATTGTTACTTGTTTGGAAGTATTTGGACTTTTCTGTGGATGCGCTAATAAATTTCGCCATGTCCATTGTCAAGTTTTAGGACGCAGGAATTCGCGTCCTGTAAATCCCTGTAGGTTTGTAAACACTTTTGACTTAAATGTGTAAATGTACAAGCCTGACATGCTAAAGGCGTGACATTCATGTCGTCACTAACAATGTCTTCTAGTGTTAGACATCACGCCAAAGACTGGGTTCAAGTCCCCACATGGGTACAATGAGTGAAGCCCTTTTCTGGTGTTCCCCACTGTGATATTGCTGGAATATTGCTAAAAGCGGCATAAACCCAAACTGACTCAGTCAGTCAGTCTAGTTTTAGTACTTGTAGATTGGTTGAGTGTCCTTATCAGTATTAACTTACAGTCTCTGATCATGTCATTTGTGGTAGAGTACTGGAATCATTTTTGACATTTTACCTTGGGACCTGTACAGTTAACAAGAAAAGCATAAACATAAAAATATGTTTAATTTTGACCTATTTGAAAATTTGTCATTGAAAAGTCTGTAAGTTTTCAAGCAAACACGCAGTTGTTGAAAGGTCTGGTGGTCAGGGCCTAGATTTTCGAAGCTCTCGTAGCGTTAAGATAGTCGTAAGTGCCATATATTAACTTTCAACTATATTAGCACTAAAAGAGCTTCGAAAATCTAGGCCCAGGCTCCCTGATGGTGTAGCCTAGTGGTCAAAGCATTCTCCCACCACACCAAAGACCCATGTTGATTCCAAACAATGGGTACAATGTGTGAAGCCCATTTCGGGTGTCCCCCACAGTGATATTGCTGGAATATTGCTAAAAGCGGCGTAAAACTAAACTCACTCACTCTGACCAGGTTGATCGACACTCGTGTTAATCGATGTAATGTATTGTTCATCAACAAATGATCAGTATGACCTCAACATGTCAACCCGTGAAGATCCGGGCTAGAATTGGTCTTCAGTAACCCAGTCTTGTCATAAGAGGTGTCTAACGGGATCAGGTGGTCAGGCTCACTGACTTGGTTGGCACATGTCATCGTATCCCAATTGCGTAGATCGATGCTCATGCTGTTGATGACTGGATTGTCTGGTCCAGACTCGATTATTTACAGACCGCCGCCATATAGCTGGAATATTGCTGAGTGCGGCATAAAACTAAACTCACTCACTCACTTATCGGTGCATGAATCATTATTGAGATGTCGTGAATATATACAAGGTGGTAAGGAATGATTTGGTTAAGTGTTACTAGGTTTATACCGCCTCCGTCGTGTAGTGGTTAGAGAGTCCGCCCGGAGAGCGGAAGGTCGCGGGTTCGATCCCTGGCCGCGTCATACCAAAATACGTTAAAATATGGTACTTGTTGGTCCCTGCCTGGCGTTCGGCATTAATGGGTACAACAAGGACTGGTCGGCTCAGAGTCAGTATGATGTGTCTGAGTGGGGTATTCGTGCTTCACAGCGGCATGGTATCTCAGTGGGCTAGCACTATAAAACCAGCTTCAGTCTGGGCTAGTACAAGCAGCCGCACATACACATACACACGCATGCACGTCGTCATATGAGCGAAATATTCTTAAGTGCGACGTTGAACCCAATTTCACCTCACCTCACCTTACCTCACCTCACCTCACCTCACCTCACCTCACCTCACCTCACCTCACCTCACCTCACCTCACCTCACCTCACCTTTGACACATTCACCATATGATGTGGTTGGGGGTGGGGGCATTTGTGGCACAGTCGTCTACGGGACTGCCATTCGATGTGCAGAGTTGCATCCCTTGGACAGACCGGAAAACATGTTGGTTCGAATCCCGGTTTGACTACCCACATGGACACAATATGTGAAGCCCATTGTTGGGGTGTTCTGGTGCATTGCGTGAATACTGCTAAAAGCGGCGTAAATCTAACTTCACTCACTCACATTTTGTACAGCAATGAGTCAAATGGCGTCTGGTGGTATAGTGGTTAGAGCGTCCGCCCAGAGAGGGGAAGGTCGCGGGTTCTATCCCCGGCCACCCCATACCAACATACGTTAAAATATGGTACTTGTTTTCTCTGCCTGCTTCTGCATTTATGGGTACAGCAAGGACTGGTCGGCTCTGAGTCAGTATAAGGTGTCTGAGTGGGGTATTCATGCTTAACTGTAGCATGGTATCTCAGTGAGCTAGCGCTATAAAACCAGCTTAAGTCTGGGCTAGTACAAGCAGCCACACATACACACGCATGCACGTCGTCATATGAGCGAAATATTCTCAAGCACGACGTTAAACCCAATTTCACCTCACCTTACTAGGTTTATAGACACAGTGTTGATTGCAAGCTTGTTGCAGATGAGTTGAAGAAGTTACGAGAGGAATATCAAGCAGCTGATGAAGCGGGAAAGAGGTTCCTGGAGAAGAAGTATGGGAAGAGAACTATCGAACAAGCCCTAGAGGAGACATGGTCTAGCGAGTGGCTTGAGCAGTACGCCAAACAGTGTCCTTCTTGTGGAACACATATACAGGTGAGGAGTACGCCAAACAGTGTCCTTCTTACAGGTGGCTGTCCTTCTTGTGGAACACATATACAGGTGAGCAGTATTGTTATAGGATATTTATATAGCGCACATATCCACGCGCTGGTATTTTTTCCCTTGATCATTGGATGTCAATCTCAACGGCACATTGTATTGTCAATCTCAACTCCCCGGGGCGCATACAACTCTTGCAGCCACTAGAAGTACGGAGTTATTGTGGCTTTTTCATCCTTACGAGGTACCCATTCACTGCTGGGTGGACTTGGACACATAGTCAGAGTACTTTGTCCAAGTTTACTACACGTTGCTGTACCCGCAACTAGGTGTTTCCACGTATTCATGTGGCCACCATCTGGTCATATACCAACGAATTCATGGGTTCTTTTAAGTACACAGGGTTGTGTACTGTACACTAGGGGTTGTGACAACACTGAAAGAGTCTGCACATAAAGCTGACTCCAAGTTTTTTACACCCGGTCACAGGTGGGCTCGATCCCGACACCTCAACCTCGCTTGATCACTAGCCTGGCGCCATAGCCAGGTAGCTTACCATGCCCCCAAACCATGCAGTACTCCAAACAGTGTCCTTCTTGTGGCCCACATATACAGGTGAGGAGTACTCCAAACAGTGTCCTTGTGGCTCACATATACAGGTGTGGAGTACTCCACACAGTGTCCTTGTGGCTCACATATACAGGTGAGCAGTATGCCAAACAGTGTCCTTGTGGCTCACGTATACAGGTGAGGAGTACTCCAAACAGTGTCCTTGTGGCTCACATATACAGGTGAGGAGTACTCCACACAGTGTCCTTGTGGCTCACATATACAGGTGAACAATACCCAACACAGTGTCGTTCTTGTGGCTCACATATACAGGTGAGGAGTATGCCAAACAGTGTCCTTCTTGTGGCTCACATATACAAGTGAGCAGTACTCCACACAGTGTCCTTTTTGTGGCTCACATATACAGGTGAACAATACCCAACACAGTGTCCTTCTTGTGGCTCACATATACAGGTGAGGAGTACTCTAAACAGTGTCCTTGTGGCTCACATATACAGGTGAGCAGTATGCCAAACAGTGTCCTTCTTGTGGCTCACATATACAGGTGAGCAGTATGCCAAACAGTGTCGTTCTTGTGGCTCACATATACAGGTGAGCAATACCCAACACAGTGTCGTTCTTGTGGCTCTCATATACAGGTGAGCAGTATGCCAAACAGTGTCCTTCTTGTGGCTCACATATACAGGTGAGCAGTATGCCAAACAGTGTCGTTCTTGTGGCTCACATATACAGGTGAGCAGTACTCCACACAGTGTCCTTCTTGTGGCTCACATATACAGGTGAGCAATACCCAACACAGTGTCCTTCTTGTGGCTCACATATACAGGTGAGGAGTACTCTAAACAGTGTCCTTGTGGCTCACATATACAGGTGAGAAGTACTCCAAATAGTGTCCTTGTGGCTCACATATACAGGTGAGCAGTACTCCACACAGTGTGCTTCTTGTGGCTCACATATACGGGTGAGCAGTATGCCAAACAGTGTTGTTCTTGTGGCTCACATATACAGGTAAGCAATACCCAACACAGTGTGCTTCTTGTGGCTCACATATACAGGTGAGCAGTATGCCAAACAGTGTCCTTCTTGTGGCTCACATATACAGGTGAGCAGTACTCCACACAGTGTCCTTCTTGTGGCTCACATATACAGGTGAGGAGTACTCTAAACAGTGTCCTTGTGGCTCACATATACAGGTGAGAAGTACTCCAAATAGTGTCCTTGTGGCTCACATATACAGGTGAGCAGTACTCCACACAGTGTGCTTCTTGTGGCTCACATATACGGGTGAGCAGTATGCCAAACAGTGTTGTTCTTGTGGCTCACATATACGGGTGAGCAGTATGCCAAACAGTGTTGTTCTTGTGGCTCACATATACAGGTGAGCAGTACTCCACACAGTGTCCTTCTTGTGGCTCACATATACAGGTAAGCAATACCCAACACAGTGTCCTTCTTGTGGCTCACATATACAGGTGAGCAGTATGCCAAACAGTGTCCCTCTTGTCCCTCATGATATTCCATCAATAATGGATTCAATTTCCTTTCAAGATGGATGCAAAACTAACAACACATTCTATCAACTGTGAAGGTGCCTTTGAAGCAGCAACACATTGAGGCCATTGTTTCAGGTCTGTTTCCTCATTTTCAGAAAATTGATGGCTGTAACAAGATGACCTGTACCAAATGTCGGTGTTACTTTTGCTGGATCTGTAGCAACACGTTGTCCAGGACCAACCCCTACAGCCACTTCAACATGTCCACCACCTCCTGCTTCAACAGACTCTTTGAAGGGATGGGGCCCATAGATGGGGACTTCTTTGACTTCGAAGAAGAAGAAGACTTCTTAAATCTGATCTGAAGCTTATATGTAGGGCTGTTTGCAAGAAATCTGACTGTTATATGGATTACTTCCCTTGTTTTAAGGATTAATTCCTTATTGTCCATAGCTATAAGCTTCTATTCAACTGCCAATAGTTTCTATCAGGAAGAATTAAATTTAGCTTTGTGTGAATATTCAATATACCAAGAGACAGAACACAAAATATGAAAAGTGAAAATGTTTTCAAGTTGATCTGGAATAGACTAAAATGATTTGAATGGATTTCTCTTTGAAAAAAATATTTTTTTTAGCAAAAAGCAAACAAAACAATGATTTGAATGCAAATACAAGTTTTCAGTCAAATGCAGCATTTTCTTTTGCAATTTATTTGATTAATTAAGGTAGACTCATTTTTAAGATTTTGATTTGGCTGCATTACTGTTATAATTTACAGATTGCACTGGATTCGCTAGTAATAATCAGCTTCAAGAAAGATAGCCATAATTGTGATTATTGATATTAATGGAACCTAGATTATCAATAGGTTTTTAACGTGTCAACTGTTTTCTGTAAATCTCCTAAAAGGTCATACTTCCGAATGTCAGGTGGCCTTATTATTTGATGTTGGCTGGAACATTGTTCAAATCACTAATTAGCTGACCAAAACATTTTACTGACCAAACTGAAGTTTTTATAGCACATGTTAAACTCAATATTGTCTGCATGTCTGATGATGTGCCTTGAGTGACTTTGAGCTTGGAATATGTTTTTATCACGATATTGCTTGGTAACCGTTACATTAAAAGATGATGTGCTACCTGTCATAAGCTCTGGCCTTGAATGGCTTTGAACTTGAAAACTTTCTGTCACAGTATTGTTGGGTACAAGTTAGATAAAGAGGGGTTGAGATTATAAACTTTAACATCGCATCGCCATTTTGCAGCCATACAGCTACCATACATGATGTTAGATGGGGTAGTGGTTGTCCCCCTTTGGTAGCCGACGTTAAAAATATACTAAGGGAAACAAACAAGGGAAAACCGCTTCATTGCCGAGTTTCTTTATTTATTCTTAGATTGTCACCCACAGTGCGATACAAAACTTTTGAAGAAACCTGGAAAAGATTAAAGCAACACTTGCTTTCATGTGTTCCCATATTTGTTTCCCTCAGTATATGTTCACTTGAAATAAGTGTGACTGTAATGAAGTTAGATGAAGTATGAATGAAGTAGTGGTTGTATACCCTGGTTAACAGGTACATTGCAAATAACACTTGTAATGAATGATTGAAAGCTAACAATTGGAATCACTTGGGGACTGTCTGTTTCTATAATGTCTATTTAGTTTTGTTGCCAGTTATTTTGCCGTTGTTGAGGTGTGCCTTCCATACCATGTGGTTCATTGGCATTAATTTTCACATCTTATCATGTATCAGAATATATAAGAATTATAACTGCTCTGACCCACATGTTGATTTCCGTTAGAACAGGTTCCCTGGAACTTATGCATGTCGGGAGAGGTGACCAAATGGATTGGGTGTCAGGCTAAGGGACATATTTGTTTGTGTGTCATACCAGGTGACATGGATTATTGTTCATAATATCAATCACTGGACTGTCTAGTCCCACTCGCTTATAGACTGCCATAATATAGCTTGCTATTGCTGAGGGTCAAATACACTCAGGCGTCATGCTCAGAGCATTATGGGCCCCGATTTTGCGAAACAAACTAAAGTTTCTACTGAAATTTCAAACTGAGATTGACAATTTTAAATATCTGAATTTTTAACTCAACTGTATTTTTAAAATAAAAATGCCAAAATAACTTAAGGAATCTATCCACCAAACTCAAGCTGTCTACTATATTTGAGTTTAATGTCGATTTCAGTTTATTCTGGGAAATGCATTCTCCTCCGTTTTCTCAAATTTGAGTAAAAACTCTAACTTAAGTCAAAACTGTTTTGAGAAATCTGGGCCAGAACACTGATTCTTGAACATATTTTTAGTTTCATCATATGTGTCTTTCATTGATGTGCAACACTGAATAGCACCCTTGCCCGAGACTGAAAACACTGTTGATGCTTATAAGTATAGTGCTGGTCACGTGGTTTTAGAATATATGTAAAAAATGTGTTCATGTACTATATTGTCAAATCAGGCACCTCATAATAACATTACTGTCAGTGTATAATATTTTTTGTAATTAAATACTGAAGTTAAGGTGTTCAACTCTATGTTATCAGCTGAGAAATTTGACACTTATATAGAAAGAGGGTTGTGTGTGGAAATAATATTTAAATAATTATGTGAATACGGCCTGTAAGTTCCATGAGGCGCTACTTCCAATACCAGCTTAGTATAGCTCCCCGATACGTGAGACAGGACCAGCTTACTTCCAGCTTACTACCAGATTTCCGGTGACAGCGTATGGTTCCAAATTGCACGACCGCCAAATATGACTTTACTAGACCGCCAAATATGACTTTACTAGACCGTCAAATATGACTTTACTAGACCGCCAAATATGACTTTACTAGACCGGACCAAGTGTACAACCATGCTTGGCTGTCACAGCTGTTGACAGTCGTAATAGTTGGCTAATTTGGGGATGGTTAGATCGGAAATTTGTTATTCCTGCAGGGATTATTGGTTCCTTTTTAGTACTGGTACTTAACAATGTAAGGTCTCACGAAGTGACGTGACCTACTTACGGGCCCTATTAATAATTTCAATGGCATTATTTAGTTTCTACTTTGATGTTTACCTGTTACCAAAACTTCTTTGTCCTCTTTTTGTAATATATTGCAATTATTACGATAGCATGAAAAAGGATTGTTTTTGTGTATTATTTTGTCATCAGTGATTGAGCTTGCGTGTATTCTTCCACTAATAGTAACATGTTTTTCAAGTTATGTGCCCTAGAGAGAAGTGACAAGGTTCATGTTGCCCCAGGTATTTCAGGATGTACTGAAGCTTTTAAGCCTTTCTTTGTTGACTGGGCAGGCCAAAGTGACCCAACCCATGCAGATCCGGGTGAGAATTGGTCTTCAGTAACCCATGCTTGTCGTGAAAGGCGACTAACGGGATCGGGGGTCAACCTCACTGGCTTGGTTGACACATGTCATCGTATCCCAAATGCGTAGATTGATGCTCATGCTGTTGACACATGTCATCGATTATTCCCAATATAGCTGGAATATTGCTGATTGATGCTCATGCTGTTGAACACTGGATTGTCTGGTCCAGACTCGATTATTTACAGACTGCCGCCATATAGCTGGAATATTGCTGAGTGCACTGTTTAACAACAAATAAACAAAACATGTCCAGAATATTGCCAGTTATGTTGTGGTACACTGAGATACCTTGCACTGGATTGTCTGGCCCAGACCGCCACCATATAGCTTGAATATTTCTGAGTGCGGCATTAAACAACCAACCAACCAACCAACCAACCAAAGTGACCCATTTGTCTAAGAGGCTGCAATTTGATGTGCAGAGTTAAGTCCCTTTGAATCCCACTTTGAGGACATGATGTTTCAATGATAATCAGACCCATACCCACTAGTGGTGTAACGATATGACATTACAGATTTGTAACTTGATACGAGGCCAATGATACAATCCCTTTATGTACAACTCCTGTATTGCAGTACATACAATTCATTTCAAGTTATATTGTTGTAAAAACATGATTAATCAGTTTCTGATTTTGACTGCTATAAGTAGCAGAATCTACACATTGCTCTCAAGCTTATGGGGGAATGTACTGTATCATGATACAAACCCTGTCACACCTGTTTACCAAGATACATATATGGTACTGCAGCCTCATCATATTGTTACACAGCTAGTACTTTACTTCATTTGGTTTTCAGTTTAAAACATGAACATTCAACCTTCAACCTGGTGGAACTGGAATATTCTTCAAATCAGATTAGCACACAACTCTCTCAGAAACCATTTTTTGGTGATAGTCGCTGTGTCAGCGTCACTGTGCAGGTAATCAAGATGCTATATTCTGGATAGACCGGGTAAATTGTCACAATCTCATTATAACATGTTCAAATGGTATGTCTCGCGTAAACAAAACAAAAATACATCCACATAAATATAAAAGGAAACATCACAGAGGAAGAGAAAAAGATATGTCCTGAACTCTTATGTGTTTTAGTCTTATTGGAAAAGGGGACTCGACCAGTCTACTGCTAGGTCGTGCATATTTAATGTACATGAGATGAAAGTTACCATGACTACCTATGAATTGTGTCTGTCAAACATGTCTTTTACAAAATATTGTGTCTTCAGTTTTACTGAAACGTATAGTCTACTGAATAACCTAGGGAGGTTGTAAAACTTTAGTTTTCATTTGTTTTCTGTAAGAGACATTTGGATTTTGAATGTTTATTCTTATCTTTGTGAAATGAAGAAAAAACTAATTTCCTCTTGATTTAGTGAAACATCACTACTCTTGATCCTGCTGTGTCAGAAACCCGACCTTTCTAATGGGAACTGCTGTGTTATTATGAGTATTATTATATATAATGAACAAGTATTGCACAAACGAATATTATTTATTATATTATCTTTGTTTATTGATCAAGAAATGTGTTGATGCAGCTGGCAAGGAGGGTGCCGGCATTCCACTTAATCTTGGCATTAAACTCTTGAGTCTTTCAGCATACAGCTGATACAAGTAAATTAGATTGGGAATGTTCAACTATGCTTCAGGGTATTTCATTGATTCGTCTCTCTCCTTACTGGAACAAATTCTGAAAATTAATTTCAATATTCAAATATTGGCATCTGCTTACCAGATGAACATTTCATCCAGAGTACAGTACTGTAGCTTCCGGAACTCCGGTGAACTGGGCTCCGTATCTGGAACTCCAAAAGGAAGGCAGAATCCTCCAGGAACTCTTCCAGACTGACACAATGGTTGTTTCTTTGTAAGCTGTTTTCTTGATGTCGTTATCTCCTTGCTATACAGTTGTGATCTTCCATGCTGGTCAGAGAGCTGGTTGCAATCAAGGGAGCTGACTCCTTCCTGTTGGCATTGGCTTTGTTTGTGTACATAAGGAATAAAAGGAATTATTTGTTACAGTTGGCGTCCTTCATATATGTAAATTACAGCAAAGTCACCCTATTGAAAGGCTATTCTTTCAATGGTTGTCATACTTATGTCAATCACATCAGTAAGGCCATGCTAATGTCAATCACATCAGTGCTATTGAAAGGCTATTCTTTCAATGGTTGTCATAGCGTTTATGTCAATCACAGAGTTCAAGTGAGTGAATGCTGGAATATGCTAAAAGCGGCGTAAAAAGGCTCAGTCAGTCAGTCAGTCAGTCAATGGTTGTCATACTTATGTCAATCGCATCAGTAAAGGCCAGGCTATTGAAGGCTATTCTTTCAGTTGGTTGTCACAATTTTGTTAATCACATCAGTAAGGCCACGCTATTGAAAGGCTACTGTTTCAATGGTTGTCATACTTATGTTAATCACAACAGTTAGGCCACGCTATTGATATCAAATGTCTCAAATCGTTCTTCCAACAATACACGTAGAGACTACTACACGATTGTTTGTGAAATACCTGTTATCTTACGACTTGTTTCAAAAAGGTATCTATCAATCAAAAGTTGCTAATTAGACCTCATATTTTGCTCATCAGATAGTTCAAACAAACCAGTTACAAGACATGGTATATTGAAACCATGACTGCTGTAATCTGCAATTAGTATAACATACTGAAATTGCACAATGTTTGCTTCACATTTTTGCATGCTCTACCCACTGTCATTATCACAATATCAAGTCTTACAAAATAAGTTTCTTTTATTTCTGTGTACTGTCCCAGCATTTGTGATATTACATGCAAGAGAATATCAAAGAACTTTTCTGAACACGCTAAAAAAGGCAATTTTGGACACTGATGTTGCTGAACTCGATTGAAGCTCAAGAAGCTTTTGAATGAAAGTAGTACGTCATGGTTCAGACCTCAGGTCACCTGGAATTATATCTCAAACATGTTTAATATTCATTAATGTGCTCCTGAAAAAGGTAAAAATGTCGAAGTGTTACGATCGCTTTGAGGAACAGGATGGTGGGGTAGCCTAGTGGTTAAAGCGTTCACTCATCACACAGAAGACCCGGGTTTGATTCCCCACATGGGTACAATGTATGAAGCCCATTTCTGGTGTAAAGACTCATTCACTCACTCACTTTGTGGATCAGAGCCCAAAGTAATAATACCTGCAACTAAGTACATAAAGATGACAATTTGAGTTTATTTGTAATGATACAGGATGATCAACAACATCAACACTAGCTGGCTTCCAACACGTCAGAAAACCTCAGATAATCCAGGAATGCAGCTGGTAGCCGATCATCCAGTCTCTCAATGTTGAGGTCAATGTTGACAGGAACACACTGGCGAATCTTTATCCTGCACAAAGAAGTCAGTCTGAGTGGTGTGGAACTAGACTCATGGATGAAGGCTGACAGCTTCATCTTCCCCTTGTCTGACAGATCTGATTTTTCCACAGCTGCACTGAACACCCTCGCAGACTCCTCATCCATCCTGAACCCAGCCATCACCAGAAGTTTCAGAGCCTTGAGGTAGTCAGGTTCATGTTCCCGTGACAGTGAAGGGAAGACTGTCCACAACGACCTCCAGCCGACACGTTCAGAATAGACTCCGTTGGCCAACAGTAGGTGTATGGTTCTGACATTTACGCTCGAACAGGCATATTGTAAACAGCTGAACCCAGCACCATGCACCGCCCTGACATCAGCTCCGAGTTTTAGAATAACCTCAACAGTCTTCCAAGAGTCGACTTTGTCCATTCCACACGCAAAATGCAGAGCAGGTATTGTCGAGTAATTTGAACCCAACCAGGATACGTTCACGTTAGTCAGTTCCTTTCTGGCTGTCAATAGACGCAGTTTGGCCTTCAAACCATCATCATCAACACAATCTTTGTAAACCGTATACAAGAGACCCACACCTACTAGGTTGTTATTGACGATACAGTTTTGAAGACAGACGCCACACAGCACAGTTGGGTCGGACCCTGCTTCTAGTAATAGTCTGATCAGTTCTGGTTCTGTACACGTGGTTGCCTGCACCAATGGAGAGGTGTATTCCATATTTTGGTGGTTCACGTCAGCGCCAGATTCAATCAACAGACGAGCTACAGCCATGTGTCCCTTTTCACATGCATGCATGAGAGACGTGTCACCATTCTGGTCCCAAACATCGACATCACAACCCTCCTGTAGGAGACACTGGACCAGCTCTGCTGACCCTGATCTACTTGCTTGGATCAACGGCCAGTAAATAACAGGCGTGTGGGATTGGTGGTTTGGGATCAGTCGGGATATTTTACTTACATCCACTCCATGAGATATGAACAGTCTCACTATGTCCGTGTTACCCAGCATGCACGCTGTTGTGAGAGGCACAACGTAGTCTAGTTTCTCTGGGCCTGTGTGTGTCTCTAAGTAGTCCCGAACAGCATCATGGTCTCCTTGTTTCACTGCTTCAGTCAAATCAGCGAGTTGAATGGACCTTTCAGTTCCCCAGACACCAGGTCTTTGGTCATATTCCGTCATCACCTCCATGTATGGGGTGACTCTCGGTTCCACTGGCTGCGTCATCCTGAAACAGGAAGTGAAGAAAAGCATGCTTTACCATTCAATACACTTAGTGTTGGCAATTGGTTAAAATCACATAATTGATGATTGGTTCATCACAACCAATCAATCATCGAAGATAATTGGTTAGCGTTATTTATAAAATTTTCCTGGTTTGTTAATGCACACACAAAAAATAAAAAGAAAAAACGTAGTTCTTTTGTGTGTTTTTTGCAAATTGCACAAAATGCATTTACAAATTTCACAAATTTTGCATCTTTAACTGACTAGCATGTTAGGAACATAAATTTCCTCAAATCTTTAAGATAACTTCAATCATGACTTGGAACGAGCTTGTTGTGCTTATGAAATGTAAGAGACAAAACCAACCTTGTGAAAAATATTGTTAATGCAAACAAGTGTTCCAAAATTGTTTGAGTTTGTTTATGCGAAAAAATGTTTGATTGCTTGGTTGTTTAGTCATTGTGACCAATCGTCGATTGTTTCCATTAATCACACCACCACTACTTACACGCCTGTGAAAAATAAGTTTAATCGGTCTTCAGCAACTAGTCGCGGCCATAGGCGATGGGTCAGGGTCGGGATGTAAGGCTTGCTGACTTGATTAATGTATGTCACCTCATTCTATTGCGTAGGTTGGGGCTCATGATATCAGTCACTGGAATGCAGTGTTTGCACTTGGCATAAAAATTTAGGAGTCATCATGATTCCATGGTGTCATGAGAGTGAGTCATGGACATGTTTTTGGGAGTCAACTCTAGTTTGGAACTTTCATCAAGACATCAACTGTGATTGTTTGATAACGACAAAAAACAAGGTAAGGCAAGCACTGAGCAGTTAACTGGCAAACATTAAACATAGTTTTAAACAACAACAAATTACAAGTTTAGATTATCTGAACTAAGGGCTCAGTAGCATTACATCAACAATGACACAAGCTTCTAAATTCAATGTGTTTGAGATAATTTGTCTGTCAAATATGCAGGTTTTTTGAGTCAGAGCAAACACTGGGAATGTGTAATGCGGGAATGCACATAAACATCTTTTGTGATGTAGTACCCATGAAACCATAGCAACACAGAGACACAGCTGATCCCTGTTTAGAAGAGCTGTCATACATAGACATGTCTATAAATAGCAGTGTTTTGGTGCCATAGCAATTCAAAGCTTAGAAGAAAAATGAGCTGATATACTTATGCTATAATGTTAGATTTATTGTTGATATATTTCTCAAAAATTGACTTTCAACTGGTGCAAGTTTGACTAATAAGTAGGTTTCATTTGTAATATTGAGTTGCACCAGTGCAAGTAACAAAGCACTAAATCGAGCCCTGTAGCTGCATGTGCTAAAACTTATGAGGTGAAAACAATTCATTCCATCGATAAGGAATATTACTTTCAGTTCTGACAAAACATGCATAGTGCACTTTTCAGTTGATTTTTTATCAAGTGGTTAAAATCCAGAAAAGGGTTGGCAAATCCTAACATGAATGAAATGTAACATTTGTTCATATAAAAGCAAAGTAGCTGTAAAGTACACATAAATATTCAAATCTGTCTATGTCTTTGCCAAAGGAGGGCAGTGGGTTGCCAGTGGTTAAATGGTCACTCATCACGCTGAAGGCCATGGTTTGATTCCCCACATGGGTGATATTGCTGGAATATTCCTGAAAGCGTGTAAAACCAAACTCACTCACTTTGCCAAAAGCCTCACACCAAATAAACCTGTCTCTATTTTCTATTTGTTTTGGACTGGGTTTTATCTCGCTCAGAGCCGTAAGAGAGAAACTTATGGATGTAATCTTTTGTATTATAAGGAATTAATGTTTCTGAGTAGATGCTTTCTTGTTCGGGTAAATGGATGCAGATAACTTTTATATATTTGTACGTGAGTACGTGAAAGCACAACAAAAGAAAATACTGACTGAGTTTGGTTTTACGCCGCTTTTAGCAATATTACAGAAAGAAATAGGACAATAGAGGTGGAAAATTAAGAAAAAAGGTAATTAACGCTAATGGGAAATGGACAAAGAGATGCCAAGAGTTAAATTAGCACTGATAGGTCACGAGCACTGCTTGAAAAGTGACAAAAGGAAGGCAGGGATACATAGCATTGATTAGCAATAGTAATGCCTACTAATGGCCACAAAGAATACAGTAGGATTCAAAACACATTAAAGAACACTGACACTTGGAAGGCGTGTGTTAAATCAGGAACACTTCATTGAAAGAAACTTTTGATCTCTGCTAAAGACCCCTCTGTTCACTGCTGCCTTTGTGTAAAAGCTATATGAACTATTTCCTTCCCAACTATTGTCACAGCGCCACTGAGCATCTCTACAGTGGATATTTGGCACTTTATAAATACATTATTATTATTGTTATTATTAATATACCCACAACTGTGGTATATTAACTATAGGCATATGTAAAAAGGTCGGGTAGACTTGAAGTTCCTTGTAGTAGTAAGATATCAAATTTTGATCCCGGACAAGCCCCAAATTTCTCTTAAGTGTTGATTCCCATGTGGAAACTAAAAATGTGTTTTGGTTTTTTAAATATTATTTTAAAAAAAAGTTAACCGTGAATCAGTCTGTACAAAAACTTAACAGAGCAATGTGATGAAATTAAAAGTTGTATTCTAGAATTACCTAAGTTTTCAAATGAATACAAATCACTACAAAGGTACTACAGAGACAGTACAAAACAGAATGGCAGTACAAGTTCAAAGGCAGTATGATACATAAGCAATGATTAAAGCAGTGAAGAGAGATGGTTATATGCACCTCACCAAAACAATGGTCAAGTTTCTAAAATAGCCTAAGCTAAGTAACAAGGGTAAGAATAATCTCCACACAATGGCTGGTCTTCTAGTAATTTGAGATGTAATGTGAGATGTAGTGGTGTTCCGATGATTGAAAATATTCGAAAATCGATCAAAAGAAGGATTGAAAATAATTATTGATTGTAAAATTCATATTTTCAATACATCATTGTTTTGTTGTTTTAGTATAACAGAGCTACAGATAACGTTTAGGGTCATTGAGTTATGTACTCACTTGTGTTCATCTCAATTGGGTATCCTAAGTTTTTGTTTTGAGTAACCAAATAAATTGTACTCACCTCACTCAAACTCAACTGGGTATTTTGCCATCTTCCATTAAATTTGAAAATATAGTAAAATTTATATGTTAATGTTTGTTATTTATATTTGATCTGTAATATGAGAAACGATAAGAAAGACTACAAGTTGCCAAGTTCATGTCCTGAAAAATAGAACCTCTCAGTATACTTCAGTTATTTTATCTATCCACCGGTACACAAGCTAAGATTTGACATTTTTGTGTGTATGCATGTAAGATCACATTTATTAAGTATTTACAAAAATTCAAGCATACTTGTACACAATAGACTGAATAGAAATTGAGTTTTCACATAAATATTTGCGTAATTTACGTGCAGATACGCAGCTTATCTGTACCTCTGGTATAACACACTTGAATGAAGTAAACTAACCATTAAATTTGATGAATATTCACGAACAAACATGCTCTCAACAGTGTAAAGCTATGCACATTGTAAAATTTAACCACTTTTATTGTTTAATTACAATTCCAGTGTCTTTCTTGCATGCGTGCATTTCTTTGCATGACAGTATTAGTTATAAAAAACATTACTTAGAAAAATCCTTGGAAAAACCCTTAAAATTGGTGATTACAATAAACTGTATGGGTCATTTTCAAAATTGGTAGGATTTTCAATTCTTTATTACAGTAAAATCAAACTCCTGAAAATTGATTTAATTTTTATTCAAATGAAATCTCAAACACTTAATTATTCAAAAATACAAACATGCAGGCTCAAATTTACTAATTGGCCTTTTAATTGATACATAAGTAATTAATAGGGTGAGGGAAAGTCCTGACCGTTACCATTTCTTAATCAGAATACAGATTTTGAAATATATATTCATAAAAATCTTTTAAAGATTGCAGACAGCTTTTACACCGACTTAATCAAACTTGAAGGTAAAAACTATTATCATGAATCTTGAAAGTGTTATTGTGTATCTTTCATTTACTTACCACAAAATAATTCCATTTTTCTTAAACATTATTATGTATATAGCTTTCAACAGGTAAAATTGTCTAAAATAAACATCAGCTACTAAGCCCAGAACATCTTTTGATGACACCAGCATAAAGAGGAGTGTTTCATGTATTATCATGAATTAATTAGAGCAGTCAATTAACACCAGTAACGGTTAGGACAATAGTGGTAACGGTTTGGACAGGAATGGTAATGGGCTGGACATAAACTAGTGTTGGGAATAGGTTAAAATCTCATAATTGATGATTGGTTCATTACCACCGATCAATCATCGAAAATAATTGGTTAGCGTCATTTATGAAATTTGTTAATGCACAAAATATAAGGAAAAAACAAAGTTATCTGGGGGTTTTGGCAAAATTTCACATCTTTAAAGTATGTTGTAACGTGTCTGTGTAATACAGCAGGATGATTACCTAAATGGACACGTGATTGGAAGGATTATATACCGATTTCACAAAGCATCATCAACGCATCTCAGATTTTCAGTATATTGTGTTTGATATTGTGATACTGATCCCTAATCAGAGTTCAAAATTAATGCTAAGTCCTTAGGCCCGGAGCCAGCTCAGACCCACAGCTTTTGTTTTCTGCAGTCCTTATGGCCGACAGCTTTTTCGGCAATAACTAAGAGTATTATTTTTCAGAAAACATCAAGTAATTTCTAGTTTAAATTTCTAAATCGAACTCTTTAACTCACCTTGTTAGTTGTCACATTTTTGTTTGCTAGGAATTACTTATATTGTAGCTAAAATATAGGACCTACACATTCTGATCAGGACCCACAACTTTTTATGGTTCTGGGTCCTTAGGACCGGCAGCTTTTCAGAGTTAAGGGCAAACACTGTCCCTGACTGAAATTGTGTTGGGCTGAGCATAGTTTTATATACCAATCATTTGATATGAGAGAAGAGCTGGGATTTTATTTGGAAACTAAATATTTTTTCAGCTACATCTGCTGAAATATATATCTTTTCAATTAAAACTATGACCCTAAATATTCTCGACCAAAACACCTCACCCTGGACAAATTTGGTAATTTTAAGGCAGCCACTTTTCTTTTCGGTCACACACACACAGAATATGAAATGGTGGACCTTTTATAATAGACAAGGCTCTTCAATGTGTCAACTGAAAGTAGTTGTCGGAGATAACACAATAAGAGATAACGCAGATAACACAACCAAATTGTGATGCCAACAATAAACAGGGCAGTGTTTTATACTACTCAATTTTTGATAAGGATCATCAGATATGTCATTCTGTTTGTATATACATGTCACATGAGAATACGCTTTTGTATCATTGAGAGATATATCTATCCTTATTAGCAGAACAGTAAATACAGTGCCATTTGAAGCAATGTGTTCCTATTACCGTACACATCTTAGGAGAAAATAATAAAGTTGAAAGGTGTCAGCTGAAAAAATATCTTCAATTGAAAGATTCAGATTTTTCCTTGAAACAGGACATGTCTATTTACAGAGATGCCAACCCTAATTTAGCTCAATAAGTATTTTGGCCAAAACTGAAGCAAAAGTAGTATTTTTTGGCCAAAAGTAGTATTAACTATTCCAAAGAATTTTCATATTTAATAAAAACATTGTACTTACCTTAATCAATGTAATGCGTTTACACATATAGCTTGATACTGAATAAAATGTGGTTGAAATTTTATTGTGGATGGCACGTATGCTATTTGATAATATAATTTGGTTGGTTGGTTGGTTTTGCACACTTCATTTTCGAGAGTTTCAATGGTCATTTAATAAACTTTCTGGATCTGCCTAGGCTGCCCTAGGCTGCCCCGCCTCCTTTAATAGTGTGAGCTCTGCAAGATAGCATTACAATATTACATATTTAACAATATGTGGGTCTCCATCTCACATACAATGCCCTAGGGATGTCACAATACATAAGTTTCATGAATCGATACGTATCACGATACCCATGTCACGATTTGATACCTATCATGATACCTATTTTCGCGGAATTATTGCATAAATTTAGTTACATTTTGAACATTAATATTTCATATTTTATAATTGTCCATGAAAAGATCAACATTTTTTATTCTCAGAGATTAAAAAGTTCTAATTTCCCATCTTTGTGCATGAAAAATAATCATTTATAACTCTCATAGCATACAATTGCAAAATGTAAACGATACGTAAACATATTTAAACAGATACTTTCAAAACTAAATATCGATACAGTTTTGAATGTATCGATAATTGTATCGTCTTAGAAAAAGTATCAATGCATCGATGTATCTATGTATCGAGGCATCCCTACAATGCACTGACATATTTTATCCGAGAGCCAGGCAAGGTAAGAACAGGGTACTGTCATCTTTTAACATCCATTTTTATGAGTGCGCGAGTTTAGTTTTAGCTTATAGCGATATTTCAGCAATATCATGTCCCAGAAATGGGTTTCACACATTGTACCCATGTGGGGAATCGAACCCGGGTTTTCGGTGTGACAAGCGAACACTGGGCTACCCCACCGCTTGGTTCCTTGTTAGGTGCTGCATAAGTTTTTTGTTAGCCACTCAGTGGCCAGCATGTCCACCTTCAGCCAACCAATCCACAAACTGACAGCAGTGCTCACTAATACCCTGTGCCTACCAACTTCAGCTGAATGACAATACTAAACATAAAGTTATTGGTTGAATACATGTTAACTCATTTATTAAAACTGTACTAAAACTGCAAACAAATCAAATTCAAAACTATCAACAATTTCACAAAATAGTGATATTCAGTTGCAATGACATTGGTGTCATTGGTCAGTTGGTCAAATTGGCCTGGGGGCACTTGGCCAATGCAATACTTTCATTATGTTGAATCACAATATCACTTCTACACTGTGTCATGTATTAAAATACATTATTCAAAATCAAACAACAATGGTGGCACTACATCTTCATACAGAAGATATCTCACAAGGCACCGTGGTAAGCCAAGCTGTAACTGTTCCACACATTTGTCTACATTTGCTGGAAGTAACTGCCGCAGTCTCACACGACAAAGCTCTTTTAGACCTAAAGGCAGCAACCTCCACTGTGTCACTAGGCTCACAAATTGTTTTCTTTCTTCAGTCGAAAATTTGGTACAATCCTCTGCAGCTCTGCAGAACATCCCAAAAGATTCCTCATCCATTTTGAAACCCTGACAACATTAACAACTTCAGTACCAAGAAATAATCCTCAAAATTGTGTTGCATGGGTGATGGGAAGAACTTCCATAATGGTGTCCATCCATCAAGCAGTGGGTTTGCCCCATATGCAAGTAGAACCTGAACAGCATGAAGATTGACTGTGGAGCAAGCATATTGTAGAGGCAAGTAACCTGCATAATCTTTCTTATGAACATCATTGCGAACCTCTAAAATACTAACTATCACTTTGTAGGAGGGACAGAATAGGGGGTTGGAACAGGTTACATGTAGAGGAAGAAGCTTTCCTGTTGTCTCATCATCTTGTGGAAAGGTCCCTTGATGCAACAGATCTGTCCTACTTTCCAACATCTTCTTGGAGGCAGTCAGCATCAAACGTCAGTCAGTTCCAGGTCTGGGCATAGCTTGAATAGCTTATAGACTCCTTTGAAGTTGTTTCGTAAAATACAGGTCAACAAACAGGTTCCGTTTCTCTGCGCTGGATCGGACCCATGCTCCAGCAGCATCTGTATCAAGGTGTCCTCCCCTGCATAGCAGGATCGGAGTAAGGCTGTCTCTCCATCAACATCCTCCAAAGTGACGTCTGCTCCCAAGTTGAGAAGCAGACGCGTAACTTCAAAATTTGCGTGGGTGCAGGCGAGATGGAGAGCAGTGTTACCATCCTCATCCTGGGCATTTATATCACAGCCTGCCTCCAAAAGACATTCAATAAGGTTAACTCTGTCTTCTGCGGTATCACAAGCAATATGCAGAGGTCGTTTGGCGAGGCTTTTTGAAGGAGCATTAACTCTAGCTCCAGATGAAAGAAGCAGCAGTGCTACGTCCCTGGCATTGACATGACATGCCTCGCACAAGGGGGTCAGAACATCATAGACTTCGTCTATATCAGTTATCTCCCCTGAGTCAAGGAGGCTCTGAACTCGATCTACATCATTGTTTCGTATGGCTTCAGTGAGGGCCTCCATGATATCATCTGAAAAGAGGGAACCACACCTAGAGAAAACAGGGGAGTCATTTCCACACCAACTTAAGTTAAACACAGTATGGATCAAATTGAAGAGCAAAGGCCTTAACTTTCTAAAACCTGAATTTAAGATACCAATTTTGAAACTTATTTCAAACATGTAACATTTTAATTCCCTAATTTAAAAAAACTATGAGAAAATATTTTCATGGCAAAGGGATAATAATTCCCTCTGCATTTGTTTGGTGAGTGAGTGAGTGAGTTTAGTTTTACACCACTTTTAGCAATATTTCAGCAATATCACGGCGGGAGACACCAGAAATGGATTCACACATTTTATCCATATGGGGAATCGAACCCGGGTCTTTGGCATGACAAACGAACGCTTTAACCACTAGGTTACCCCACTTCTAGCAATATCGTGGAAGGGAACACCAGAAATGGGCTTCACACAGTGTACCCATGTCCGGGAACTGCATACATCCATCTCACATTGATTAGAGGACAAAATATCTGCCTAAAGAGTGGAAGGTTGGCAGTTCAATCCCAGGGCACATCATACCAAAACATGCCACAAGATGGTTCTTGTTGTTTCCTGATTTAGAGCTCAGCCTAGCAAGGACTTATTGGGCCAGAGTAAGTGAGTGAGTAAATAAGTACTTATGCTGCTATTTGCAGTGTTCCTGCAGAATGTGCTTCAAACATTTTGGAATTGAACCCAGGTCTTCAGTAAACGCTTCAACGGCTAGGCTATCCAGCTACCCTCAGAGTCATTATACTTTGAATGTTTTATACATGATAAACTGGTCAGAAGGCAAGGTAATATAACCGGCTAATATCCATGCTAGCAAAAATATGCATGCACAAACACAAAGTCATGTCGTTGTGACACTGCATAATTGGAATAATCCTGAATACAACATGAAAACTCTATAGAAGGCCTCACCTCATATAAAACAGGCATTCTGAACTTGAAAAAAAATAGAATGTTGTCTGCATAACAGGGATAGAAATCAATTCATCCCCACCATAAAAATTATCAAAAACACTATTTATTTAACTAAATCGAGAGACCGCTGACCTTATGAGTATCCGGTGTCTGTCATTGACTAATTGTCTAATGTAGTACAGCTTAGTCCTATGCATCCAGCAAGTAACATGTTCATCCTGTCTAATGACATCAGTTTGCAAAAACACATGTTCAAAGCAGTATGATGGGAAGTCCTATGCTTCTAATTACCTTTCATCAGTGATACGGAACAATACATAACAAGATGGATATATAGAACTGTTTTCCCAGCCAAGTGCTGTATACTTTAGTTGAAATGCATATAGCAGAAGCTGCAGATATAACAAATTAGAACCATAATACTGTTAATTCAAGTGGCAGAGATACAGTGTTGAGAAGTGTTCACGATATGGCGATCTGTATTGGGAGAAAAGATACAGAACATCACTGTAAGAATTATGCGAATATGCAGGGAAATTATAAAATACAGCAGCCCATGTTCATAAAAGGACATGTCCAACATTGCCAAGGTTGATGAGTATTTATCATTATAGTAATGATTTAATAAATAGAATCTCTCCTGAGTGTCTTTTGATATCAAATATATAAGCCACAAGTTGATAAAGTAACAATTATCCGAGGCTTGCCGAGGATATTTTACTTTTATCAGCAGTGTTGATATATTATATATCAGAAGACAAGGGTGAATTCTATTATCATCAAAAATCACTCTTCATTAGTTTTCAATGAAAATGTTACATCTCTGAACACGAGTACTGCCATTAGATTTGCAGTGCAGCGATGTCATAACATTGTGACGTCAACAAGTTCATGACAACATAGCATTGTCAGGGCATTGTACAAAATCTACTGTCAAAGCGATATCTCTAGGAGATATCGTCTGATCTCAAATATATAAAACACAAGCGATATCTACTATGGAACACAATTTTGGATTATAAATCAATGTTAATGCTGGTAAATATCATGACAAGAGCTTGTACAGTTTATAACATCCTCAGGTATTTTATATAAAAATACATGCTGAGTAAATATCATGTTGTGCTGTTTAGTCTTTATTTTTTCTCTTGTGCTTATTCTGGTTTGGAAATTTATACATCCTTTACCTGTAGGCATGGTACAGAATATCATGCTCTAGGCATCTGCAGGCACGTCCCTATTTTGAAATTATATTTTATGTTTATATTTTTTTGTTAGAGATGATTGTCAGTCAGTAATTTTGTTGTATTGATCAAATCATATAAAAGTGATAAACTGCTGCTTGCAGATCTAGCTTGTGGTTATTTAAAGAATATCTGTGCTTATTATCATGCGAAAAATTGGCAAACATTACTGCTTACACTACACGTAGACTTTGGTGCCTCTTTGATCTCGCCCAACACCCATAGGAACAGTTTTCCACGATATTTTCTTGTCATTGAATCCGGTTTGGACTAAGCAGCTTTGGTGCAATGCGGTGTTGTTTTGCTGTTGTTGCAGGCGTTGTTTCAGACGAGACAATTTTAAGTTCCTTGACAGTTGTATTACGTTTCAGACAGTGGTGTGGGTGCAAATCTTACTTTACATAAACCATTCAATACGCACGCACAGTTATCGCAAAGTCACAACAACGCGCGAAAACCGGGGCAAACCCCATCGGAAACGTTAGTAACCACCGCAAGTGAATGGTACGCCGAAGAAAATCTCTGTCGTGTACAAGCACTGAATGTCATTAATCGTAGTCACATTTACATAGCTGATCATGTTTACCTCTCGGATCCACACAAGTGTCCTCCGGTGAGTTGAAGTCCTTGGCGGGACCAACACGCAATGAAAGTGTCATAAGAAGTTCGAGCACTGTTATACACGAGATCAGCCCTGATCCATTCTGGTTCGTGCTGCAGATATTTTACGCCCGCTACATTTACCTGGTCTGCCTTTGACTGCGCTGTGCCAATGTAAAGTAGTTATATCTACACATAAATGGAAGATATAAAGTCATTCAAACAATTCCTTATACTACATAGACATATTTGCCACCCAGATTTGAAATTCCGTACAGTACCTGTAAGAGGTTTTACTGATAAAAGTTCGGCATTGACTTGGTATATTTCAAAAAATACAAACATTTATTCTAAAAATGAGGTTCTGAAGCACTGTTTGACTGACATGTAAGACGAAAAGCAAGATATTTATAGATGACTCACACTGATTCCTTATTCTATATATTATGATGTAACGATTCGGTGCAGATCGATATTCTGTTCCATGATCTATTAGTTCTGTAGAAATATTTAAACGCCTGGACATTTTTGATAACAGACAGCTAGTTTTCATGTTAAAATGAATTATATACATATTCTGCAACACCAAATGTGAGTTTTACAGCTGTATTTATGAGCAAAAATAGGCAGTTTCTTTTACAAGGGCTCTAACCAATATGTCTTTAAATAGATAATGGTTATTTTATGCCAGTTTGGGTAAATTAATACACATTATGACCGAAAATGAAGATGGGACTGATTAAGGGAAAATAGGTCATGGTCATCTGTGGCAAAGTTAGACTTTGAACAGGCATACGTAAACTGGCAAACTGTCTGTCTTCATTGTTAATTCTTAAAAGTTTGCAGTTACTTTATGATTGTAGACTTATAAGTGTAATGCGGTCAAGAAGAAGTTTTTTTGTCTTTTACTTCTGTTTGAAGTTCAGGGCCCCGTTCCACAAAGCGACCGTAGAGCTAAGATGTTCGTAAGTCCCATGCTGAAACATAGACTTACGACAGTCGTAGCGCTACGATCGTATTGAGGAACGGGGCCCTGGTGATGCAGAAAGGTACTTCCAAGGACAGGAGATGTAGAGTCACGTCCAGAAACAACATGCAAGAAGAACAACAATTGGCACTGCTGATAACCAATGGAAGGCTGGGGTTTTTGTATTGACAATAATATGTTTTTGTGTTCTTATATACATCACACTGGGGTTTGACATAGTGCATGAGCAGAACAAGAACATCGCTAAAATATATTTTCTTGAGAAACTCGTACGATTACGGTCAATCGCTGCGAAATATAGAAGTAGCATCATAAACTCAAATTTATATGTACTCGTGCATATAGTTTTGGCATGAGAACCTGAGTATTCACATGTACACTGAGTTATTTTTGTGTGTGATTTGTTAATTTCTGTCATTATACATCCCAAATAATCTTGTGGTGGCATTGTCATAAACTAACGTCCAACGTTTGAATCATTAATGAACGACAAGTACGCGATGTAAAAAGTAGCATTATGTTCTACATATCCACGTGCTAATTGCTTATTGTGTCATCGCCTTTATATTTAAGTAGCAGGGACAGAAACCTTTCAAAATTTCCCACTAGACCACTGGACCAGTGAGTGGACAATAATTAGTGGCCCTGTCTGTACTTCGCTGCTCCAAAATAAGATTCGTGGATTTATTTAACTATCAATACAAAATTTACTGGCCATCAGGACCACTGCAAAGTTATCATTTAGTGGTCCTGATGAATTTTTACTAGATGAATTTTTACTAGCCAGGGACCACAGGACCAGCGTAAATTTCGCATACTGAGTAGTGTGCTATACTGTAAATATTTTTATGGCTGTAAAGTGTATTTTACGAAAAAAATCTATAATTGCATTACCTAAAATATCGGAAAACGCACGTAAAATCTCCATAGCAAACTCTCGAGATCGTCACGCTCAAAACGACACTAAGCTGGAAACATGAGCGCCGTTTTTGTAAACAAACGCACGTGTGTGTATGTTAATCTCTCGCCTTCCAAGACACTTTCCTTATTACAAGCCTCAAATTAGGTAACATAATTGTTTAGCTATGATCGTTGTAATGTCAAAAAGACGTTATATGTCTTTCACGATTTTTTATACAACCACATGATATCATAACCGATTTAAGTACTCGGGATTATTTTTATCAAAGTACCTCAATCCTTACGCGCATTCTGATTGGTGTAGTATTTTTGCGCATAACATTTATCGATAGCGGGACGCATCTTCTTGGTGGTTACGGAAAGGGGCGAGTGGTGACGAATGTCAAGTCGGGCGACAGTGGGAAAGGTTTTACATCGTAAACTGAGAGGAGGAGTCGAACTCTGGCCTATGGAGTTTCGAAAGGACGTTCCAATATATTAGCTACCTCAAAGCATTTGAGGGTACAGAAAAAGAGTTATACACAATAATTGTTACCATAGTGAGAACAGAACTTGTACGACAGGCTGACGCACTACCTACTGTGCCGCATCCTGCACCCTTTCATACAGCAGTCAGACCATGGTTTTGTACTTTAATACAACCAAGCCGTTTATTTGGGACACGCGTGAGACAGGGTGATACTTTTCACTCAATTGAATTCAGTGAGGTTGAATGAGTCTGGTCTCGTCATCAGTTGTTTGTTGAGCAAACTGTGGTATGGTGGCCAAGAAGGGACATCTTTCTCTGCTTTAATGCTTCAGAGAACAGGCGGTAACACTATACGAGAAAGGATACATAATATCGCGTGCTCGGCACAGATTATCGCTTTGTCTTCTTATGTTATCGCTTTCTCGTCTCGCATTATCGCTTTCTTGTCTTGTGTAATCGCTTTCTCGTCTCGTGTTATTTTTCGTCTCTCAATATTGCTTTCTCGTCTCCTGCTCTTGCTTGTTAATCTCGTGTTATCACTTTCTCGTCGCGCGTTGTCGCTTTCTCGCCTCATGCTCTTGTTTTCTCGTCTCGTGTTATCACTTTCTAGTATTGCGTTATCGCATTATCGCTTTATTGTCTCGTGCTCTTGCCTTCTCTTCTCGTGTTATCACTCTTTATTTCTATTTTTTATCGAGAGAAAGCGATGTCTTCTTTCGACGACCATACTGTGGGAATGTCAATACAACCTGTACTGCGTGACACCAACCCACATGCTCGTGACCACATGTGAAGGCGATTAAACGCGCGTCCAAGCGAGACAACCGCCATCTCTTTAACTGAAGCGTACCGTGACTGAGAAAACCAATCTCATTAATTTCAGAGTAAATCATTAATACACATTATAGATGCTTCAACTGCCCCAGGACAATATGTATTGAGGACAATATGTTTCGGGATGCTGCTGACAATTTTTTTTTTTCAAGCGTGAAGCCGCGGAGAAAGCGAGTTATATATAAGTGGTCCCAAGAAACCTATGATCGTCAACGGGGGGCGAGGGAATGAGCCAGACAATGTTATTGGTTCAATGGGTGTTATAACAAGGTTGAGCGAGTGAGTGAATATGGATTTACTCTGCTTTTAGCAATATCACTGCGGGGGACACCAGAAATGGGCAGAACACATTGTACCTATGTGGGGAATCGACCCGAACCCGGGTCTTCGCTCGTCACCGAAGTCCCGGGTTCGAACTGGACCTTCCGTGTGACGAGCGAGCACTTTAACCACAAAGCTGGGCACGGTGCCTACCACAGGCTTGTCTGGTTTACGTTCTTTTCTACATGCGGCATACTCAAAATAATATATAGACCGCCTCCGTGGTGTAGTGGTTAGAGCGTCCGCCCGGAGAGCGGAAGGTCGGTGGTTCGATCCCCGACCGCGTCATACCAAAAGACGTATAAATATGGTACTTGTTGGCCCCTTGCATGGTGCTCGGCATTAATGGGTACAACAAGGACTGGTCGGCTCGGAGTCAATATAATGTGTCTGAGTGGGGTATTCATGCTTCACTGCGGCATGGTATCTCAGTGGGCTAGCACTCTAAAACCAGCTTTAGTTTGGGCTAGTACAAGCAGCCGCACATACACATACACACGCATGCACGTCGTCATATGAGCGAAATATTCTCAAGCACGACGATAAACCCAATTTCACCTCACCTCACCCCCCTAAAATAATATAACAGTCCTATGACCAATCCCTACACCTCCAATAATAGAAAACCAATCCGTTACTTCATCACGATAGTTGTCTCCCTTGAACAACCAGCTGGACTGGAAACTGTTTCCATTGGCAGAGTGGAGATATTGATTACCTGCCTGCGTTAATAGGATATTGCAATACAAATACACAAATAATCGCAGCTGACAGCAATTGGCGAACTGTTATCAGGGACCGAGGTACTCCATTATAGCCTTCGACCTAAACATTGCTCTACAGCATTGGTCAACATGTAATTCTGGGCAATGGCATCCTATCGTGCGACAGTACCAGGTGACGAGGTCCCTGACAAACTTACGCTATTCATGATGTAGATTTACTTTATAAACCCTGCGTCCATTTAGCTTAATGATTTTCTGAAGCGGAACGTGGAACTGTTAAATATTCAGTTCAGGATAGATTAATTGTTATTTACCGTGGACCTATTGGGGCGTGTCCATAATCGGAGGTGGTGGTGCTGTGTTTCTTTTCTGGATTTGGGGACATGGATAAACGTGTTTGGTGAGTGAATCTTTGTGTTCATTGGATCTATGGTCTATCTGAATTGTTAACACGTTCCATGGCAATGGTGAATTACTAATGAGGCTATTGGCGGGAGAGATGTGCAGCCCTGGAACCTGTTCCAGGACATGCTGAAAATATGACAGTCTCGACACATGGAAGAAGATGTTTGTATGACAAGTAAACAGTTTAACAACACAAGCGTATATTCTTGGTAGTGAGACAAGAATTGTTTATGCGGACCACGTAAAACCTCGGGCACACGGAGAAGATACTTTGCAAGAGAAACATCGCATCCTTGGAAGGATAATTCTCCAACAAATACACTGTAAAAGGTATGATATTTGTTCTTTGTCATGAAATCATATCCACTTTATATACACGTATATCATACCATACCATACCATACTATACCATGTCACATCACATCACATCATACCATACCATACAATATCAAACCTTAAGTACCATATCACATCATACCATATCATACCATACTATACCATGTCACGTCACATCATACCATGCCATGCAATATCATACCATAATTACCATATCACATCATAACATACCATACCATACAATATCATAGGGCGAATAATATCATACCATAATTACCATATCACATCATACCATATCATACTATACCATGTCACATCACATCATACCATACCATACAATATCATACCATAATTACCATATCACATCATACCATATCGTACTATACCATGTCATATCACATCACATACCATACCATACAATATCATACCATTAATACCATACCACATCATACCATATCATACTATACCATGTCACATCACATCACATCATACCATACAATATCAAACCATAAATACCATATCATACCATACTATACCATGTCACATCACATCATACCATACCATAACATACAATATCATACCATAATTACCATATCACATACCATATCATACCATACTATACCATGTCACATCACATCATACCATACCATAAAACCATATATCATACCATATCATACCATACTATACCATGTCACATCACATCACATCATACCATACCATACAATAACATGCCATAAATACCATATCACATCATACCATATCATACCATACTATACCATGTCACATCACATCACATCATACCATATCATACCATAAATACCATATCATACCATACCATACCATACCATACCTTATTACCTACGAGGGCGAATATATCGGGGTTTATACGATGCCCTAGGGCAAAATATCATACCACGTTTACGACACTCGTGCCTAAATATCGCTATATCCCTCGCTCTCACTCGGGAAATACCAACATTTAGGCACTCGTGTCGTAAACATAGTATGACATGGGCACTCGTATAATATCCTCTACATACCATACCATACCATACCATGCCATATGATATCGAAACAACTGTAAGTTCGACTCATCAAAATTCGACACAACGCTGTTTGACCACATATGAAAATGATATATGGAAGGTGTTAATGCAAACCTTCAACGGTTTGTCAAGCTCTCCACCAAATTCAAATTGTACGAGGCTGATTTGGTTGATAGCCTTTACACATACATGAAAAATACCAATTAAGTTTCAAATGACGCCCGAGTCAGTCCTCAGTAAATAATGTAATACGAATCTAGAACAGGCGTCAAGGAGTGGAATAATTGAATCGGCGGAGTCAATAATTTTTTCAGATTTGTGTACTTGTTGGAACCAGTATTTAAGTCATCCAGTTTAATTTGTATCAGAAACTACTGCGCGTCTTTGAACAGAATTGACATGCTGTCCTTTAGAATGGTATCAACACTTGGTCTGATATGATGTTTAAGGCCTATTTTGGCTACTTGTGATTAGCAGTTGCATGATAAGACATTTTAGACTGACGTTTGCTCACTTTAAATGTTTTTCTTGTTAGGACACCTCCACATTCATGAGGTGAAATTAGGTTTAATGTGGAATTTAACACTGATGCGCTTATATAGAGCAACGTGCATGAACGCGTGTGAGAATGTGTTTGCTTGTTGTTTAGCCCCGCACTCAATATTCCAGCTATATGGCGGCGGTCTGTAGATCTAGTATGTAAACCCAGGCCCTCGTGTCTTTGCGGGGATTAAACATTTAAAAAATATGAGATGACCCCCGACTCGAAATGCTTCACAGTACATGATTTATTGTCCTGGGAAGCATTCGAATCAGGGGTCATCTCATTTTTTAAATATTTGTTTTACATCTTTAATTCTCACAAAAACACGAGGGCTTGTGTGTATGAGAGGATGCTAGTAGCGGTTCGGACTCATGTCGGTTTGAACCGTTTGATGTCCCAGCTGTGATACGGATAACCCGCTCAGAAACAGTACACCGACCAGTCCTTTCTTTACTCCTTCGTTCCGAGCACAAGGCAGGGAAATAACAAGTACCACCTCTAAACGTCGGCAAGGGCTTCCAATACTGACCTTCCACTGACCGGGCAGAGGCTTTATCACTTGACCATGGAGGCGGACCACCTCCATATGTTGTGTTTGTTTGTTGTTTAGGACCGAATCCAGCAATATTCTAGTTATATGGCGGCGGTCCGGAAATAAAGTCTGGACTAGACAATCCAGTGATCAACATCATGAGCATCGATCCACGCAATTGGGATAGGATGACGTGTCAGCCGAGTCAGCGAGCCTGACCACCCGATCCCGTTAGTTGCCTTTTACGACAAGCATCGTGTGAACAATTTTAACAAGGATCTTCACGTGTACACCTTCATATGTACTGGAGGAAACCGTGATTCACGAAAAGTCTTATAAATGTTATGTCATTGAATATAACACGACCGAGGTGATTCGTGAGGTTAATGCTTCATCGTAACGTATTCAGTGACAAAGCCCACACTCGGAAACAGAGCGAGACGCCATGCGCTGGGTTGATATAATATATTGAACAAACTGTCGATGTCGGTGTGACCTCCATTTGCGTTGATGCACGACAGGGAGAGACGGTGCATTGAGGACACAAAATGACTGAACCATCCAAAAATTGGACCATCCGAGCTTCTACCGTGTTCTTCTAGTCCTGTTCTAACTCACAGATGTTCTGTTACCACCAGTGTGTTAGAGGATCGTTATTCTGCTTCAACTTTACATACATACACACATACTAATATTTGTATAGCGCCAATATCCAGCTCAAATGGGCTTTGTATTTCCCTCGATCATTGGATGCCAATCTCAACGGCACATCGTATTTACCGCTCCCAACTCCCTGGGGATCATACAACTCTTGCCATTTAGGCACACAAATTATTGTGGCTTTCCCATCCTTACGAGGTACCCTTTCACAGCTGGGTGGACTGGGACACATAGTCACATTACTTTGTTCAAGTTTACTGCACGTTGCTGTACCCGCAAAAGGTGTTTGCATATTCATATGGCCACCATCTGGCCATTTACCAACGGATCCGTGGGTTCTTTAAAGTGCACATGGATGTGCACTGTACACTAGGGGTTGTGACAACACTGAACGAGTCTGCACACAAAGTTGACTCCAAGGTTTTATACCCGGTCACAGGTGGGCTCGATCCTGGCACCTCAAGCTCGGTGAATCGCTAGCCTAGATCGCTCGCCCACCGGATGTTTACGGGTGTTCCTACATTTGCATGAAAGGTAGACCGTGTCTCGAACGATATGGTCTCGGCAGCGAACTTGCATTCAGATTGCTCTAGCAATGGTGGGTTGTGTTCTACCATGAGATGTGATGCCAGCCAACGCCATTTTATCTCCATCTCCAAACTGACAACCTTTAGTAACGTAAGCTATCATCGTGGACTCATGTAGATCCTTCCACAACAACGATAGCCCAGAGTGAAGCCGAGATGGAAGCTAGACTCTTCTATCCCAGTCTTGTGTACTAAACATCAGATGTCTTTACTAAACTAGGCATGCCTGACGGTGTCTCGGAAGATGAGTTGGGAGTTGCAGGGCTGTTGCAGCCGGATGCATACGGTTCGGTCACTAATTGGGCTCAAGTAAAGAATTGTCAGTTTGTGGCAGTTATATTAGATGCACCAACCGAATATGCATGTCTTGTGGACGTGACGTCACACGAAGACGACACGTCTAGCAGGATTACATCATGCTCCTAAATTTCACTCGAGTAATCCTGTTCTATAATTGAATCACTGAGGGGTTATCTGATTCTACAACTGATGCTCTCCTTAGTGAAATTATCATCGGATCAACTCACCCTAATCTTAGGATCTGAGCACTCATTTCAGGAAATGGTCAGTCGTCCTTAGGGTCAAACAGCTCCCCAGAAAATAAATGTAAAAATATACATAACTATTTTTGAAATATTAGACGGTGTACAAAATAGTAATTATTGGTTTCACCACTCGACTGTTTGTGAATGGATGGATATGGAGTGGTATTCACATGTTGACGAAATATATTTTTCTCATATGATATATATTGCGATTGCTAATTAGAGTAGACAGAAAAATACATGTATTTATAAGACATATTGATGTTACCCAATTTTAACGTCAGTTACTTAAAAACTACAACATATTTGGTCTATTCCTCTCAAGACAAATACAACACTGCTTTGCATATCACAGAGTTGTTATCCAAGCATATATTGCTGTATACATCTTTTGGCAGAACAGCTTGATTGATCTGCAACCTTCGTCAATGTTGTGATGTGCCCTGTAACGTGTCTGTTGATGTGCCAAAGCTAAGGCTTGACGATCTGCAACCACTTTTGTTGATAAACCCTTACCGCTGTCACCAATTAATCAACTTTAAACAGCTAACAACTGTTGATCTGCAGTGTGTAAAATTGTAAAATAATCATGTGCCCTTTAAACCTGTTTCTGCTGATTTGCATCAGTGAAAACAAGTGACGACATGTCTTTTATGTTGTGCTAATATGTTTGAACATCTAATATTTATCTTTGTTAACATTTTTGCTTGACGATGCAAATAACATTTTTCCATGTTCTGTGTACACATACGCTGTCTGTCTATATTTGCAGCATTTGCATCCATTTCTACCGCTGATGTAGATCTGCAACCTAACTTTGTGTTGATGTGCCCATTACCGCTGTCTGTCTATATTTGTCTTTGATTAACAGCTTGACGAGAGTGAAAGAGCCACTTTGTTGTGATGTGCCCTGTACAGCTGTCGACTATATTTATTTGGCTTATTCAGGGATCTTCAGACTTGGGGTGTGTTGATGTGTCCACCATGTACCGCTGTCTCTATATTTGTCTTTGGTCATTACGAATCTGCAACGTTATGTTTTGGCCTGTACCACTGTCTGTCTATATTTGACATTTGATG